TATCAGTGACGAACATGGTCACTAATCAGAGCATGTATTCCCATTGAGTCTTAGTCTTGGAAAGGGGTTTGCTCTGAGGGGACCCAATCCCTTGCCTTTATATCTCCTGGGTAAGCAACTTGCTTGTTCTTGTAGTAATCAGTCGGTCTGCCTCTATTGTTTTGTATTTTTCCTGTCAGTCTTTCTTTCAAGAAGTATCTTCTGTTCTTCTTGCCGCTCCAGGCTGGTCTGCAGGGCCGCCATATTGAATGACTCCAGAACATTATTCCCATCAAAGTCCAATAGAACAGCACCCTCTGGAGTTCTGCAGGGAGCATCCTTGCCCAGTGTATAGACTATAGAAACCTAACCAATGGCCATATTCCCACATCTTTTCTTTGTAACTATGTTTCCTTTTTCTGCACTAAGAGAGTGACATTTACCATTTGTCAACATTGAGTCAATTTAGACTCTAGGTGACCTTATGGTGTCAGAATAGAACTTTACTCCTCCCAATAGAGTTTTCAATGGCTGAGTTTTTAGAAATCAATCACCAGACTTTTCTTCCAAGGCTGGACTGGAATCACTAACCTTGCAGTTAGCAGCCAAGTGAATTAACTGCTTGCGCCAGCCAGGAACTCTATTAAGAGACTGCCAATAATAATAATCAACAGTTGCTGTCCTATTGATTGCAACACATAGCAAGCCCCTGTGTTACAGAGTACAACTGAGCTCCGTAAGGTTTTCTTGGCTGCATTATTATTTTTATTAATAAAACTAGAGCGGACTTTATTTAGAAGATAAAGGTGGTAGTATCCGTTTGGTTAATAAAGTTGGGCTCAAGTGTTTTAATGGGTCTTGGCCCTGGCATGCCAAGGACATTCTGAATGCCAATTACAGATTGAAGTTATTTCAAAAATCAAGATGCTTTCAAAAGCTTATGGAGTTTGGATTTCTCATAAAGTCACACTAACACACTTCAATAGTGAAAAATGGGTAGATGGGAGTTGTGAAAGTGAACACACTGTACTGAGCAGCCTCCCCCAACCCCACAACAAGTCCCTAAGACAGAATTACCATTTTAGCTCTGCTTTTTATGGAAGCAGATCTCCAAGTCTCTCTTCTGTGGCACATTGAGTAGGCTGGAACTGCCAAGACTTTTCCACTTAGTAGCCCAGGGCAAATGGTTTGTGCCACCCAGGACCTATTAGGTCCTTGATGTGCGTATCAATACCCTATCACCACCCTTTTCCCTTGGCGTCTTTCTCTCGGACCACTCCATTTCCTTCACTACCATCTCTCCCAATCTTATTCTGGACACATGTGCTACACCTTATCCTTACTTTTCACAACTCATGAGATGCTAAATCCCGAAGTTCTTACAAATCTTTTGAATTTGCTTCTGTATCCCAAATCTTATTTCCAGCATGCTCAGACTATTGTGATAATTTCTGAATCAACCTCTTTTCCACATTCAAATCAGTGTTGACACTCTACTATATTGCTTTCTTCGGGTCTTATCACTCATAGGTTTACAAGCACCCAGTGACTCCCCAGTGCCTAAAGAACAACATTCCAACTCCCCAGTCTGGTCTGCAATGCCTTCTATCTGGCCTCAACCAGCTTTTTCAAACCTTGCTTTAAAAATAAGAAAGTAAAAGGGTTGCAGTAGGTGGATTAGAAGTTCATTCTTCAAATCAGAAATTGCTAATGAGGGAACAGAGCTAGTCAAATATAGAGCCTCCTTCTGGCGAGACTCAGCTCCTCGTCCAGACTGTGGATGTCACATGGGCAGGTACTGTGTCTGTCCACTGCTGTGCATCTCTGGCCTGGCACATACCTGGCACATTATAGCCGCTGAAAACATTGTCTGAACAAAGAAGTAAACAAATAAATGAGACTGATGATAACCAGTCTACAACGACATTGGGACCCACACATCTCTGCAGCTGGCTTTTCCTCCTTAGCACACAATATCTGTGTCTGTCAGAGCAGAGCCTCTTTAGGGTCAAGGGTACATTAGCTACTTTTGTGGCTTATGATTTCTTGTTGCGGAAATGCTCTATATAGCATATATGTATTTATGTTGGTATTGTTGTTAATGCCTTTGAGCTGCTTCTGACTCATTGCAACCCTGCATAATGTTTCTGAGGAGCAGCTGGTGTGTTTGAAGTGCTAACCTTGTGGTTATCACACTCAGCATCACACCAGGACTCCATACATATATCATATGTATATATACACACACACACACACATATAAATGGAGTCTTGATGTGGCACAGTGGGTTAATGCACCAGACTGCAAAGCCATTTGAACTGCAAGGTCAGCGGTTCAAGCTCACCAACCACTCCTCGGAAACCCTATACAGAGTCGCTATGGGTCAAGATCGACTTGGTGGCACTTAAACAACAACATATACATATATATATGGGGAGCATGGTAGCTCCATACAATAAGCAATTTTTGTAGTTGAATGCATCAAGCTGGTTCCAACTCATAGGGACCCTCTATAGGGTTCCCAAGAAGTGCACTCTCTGTGTGTTGTTGTTCAAGTTCTGTCAAGTTGGTTTTGACTCATAGAGACCCTGTTTAGGGTTTCCAAGACATTTTCAATCTTTGTACAACCTCAGAAACTCTATACAGGGTTGCTATAAATTGAAACCAACTCAAGAGAACTTAACAACAATTATATATATATATATACATTTTATTTATACACATGCTGCTGCTGTTAAGTGCCTTTAGGTTAGCAATCCAGTGTTTATCCTACAGCACCACACCAGGACACTCTATGCATGCACACACCTATGTTATTGTTGCTGTTAAGTACCTTTGGGTAGTTCTGACTTATAGCGACCCTGTATAGGATTTCCGAGGCTATAAATCTTTGCAGGAGCAGAAAGCTTCATCTTTCTCACGCTGTGTGGCTGGTGGGCTCAAACTGCCCATCTTGTGGGTCACAGTACATTGCTTTTTCTACGGAGCCACCACACTCCCAATATACTATAAATTTATTATACATATTTTGCATGTATTATTTACCTCTTCTGATCCTACGACAACACTATGTGGAAGTTGGTGTTATTGTTGACCCTCCTGGAGGTGGCAGGATTAAGGGAAGAAAGAAAGGGGCCAGTAAAGATGAAGGTCTAGTCACCAGGTTTGCAGGTGGCAGCTCAGGTCACTGTCTGGGAGTAAAGGTGGAAAAAGCCATACAAGAGGTTCTTGGCTGGCCCTGCCTCTCAGGTTATCCTACAGTGGTGGTGATACAGCTGCCGGCTGTCCTTCTAGCCCTCAGACACCTTCTGTATCGCCCCTATACCAAAAATCACTAAACCATTTGCTCTCAAGTTGACTCTGACTCATTGCAACCCCGTGTGTGTCAGAATAAAACTATGCTCCATAGGCGTCTCAGTAGCTGATTTTTCCATAATTGACAGGCAGGCATTGCTTTCGAGGTGCCTCTGGGTGAACTTGAACCTCCAACCTATTGGTTAGTAGTCAAGCTAGTTAATATTCTGTGCCACATTCAGTTCTTGGTAAAACTGCCTCTCCAGATTATGGAAACACTAGATGAGACCATTCATGACCTCTTGTGGGAATGAGAAGGTATTGCAAGAAGTCTACGAATTTATGTTTGCCTCGAGCATTACTCAACAGACTGAAAACACATTATTGTCTCATGCATGGATCTCTTAGGACTTTTTTAAGTATGTATATTTCTGTTGAGATTAATGAAGTTCAAACTCACTTAGAAGCTCCTTAGTGCATTTTCTCTTGAAATAAAAAAAAAAATACAGACAATGAATCGAATATGAAGGAAGCCCAAGACATTTTATTAGCTTAAAAATAGGACTTCAGATTTCAAAGGATGTGTTCTGAGTGTAAACACCCTATTAACTGTGAAGTTCAGTGCACTGGTGAGGGCTGCTCATTAGTTATTCTGCTTGGGTTACTCATCTATTGGTCAGAGGTCAGACCATGACGAGAGAGGGTCTCTCATCACTACTTAGCGCCCACCACTGGAGGGTCAGGGGGCCACAGATCACCCTGAGGCACAGGCTCCGTTCTGAGGTCTCACAACCCACTATATCTATGGCTAAGAATTAAATGGCACCATGAGGGGCCCAAGGCGAGGTGCCAGTATGGCTACCACAGAGCCCAGCTTCCAAGCGGGCTTGGGTTAGGTTTCAGCAGCTCAGGCTTACAGAATGAAAAGTATCTTCAGGTGTCTCCTTCTCTCAGGAGGTGTAGCGTTTACAAAGTGAAACTATCGCCAGCCATATTTTACACAACTGCTGTGTAGAGTGTTTCAATATATACTGCCTGGTTTCAGTCAAAGAGAAAAAAACATTATTAATTATTATTATTATTAGTGCCGTTGAAACAAATGAAGAAACAGAGCTTCTTAAAAGAAGCAAAGTGACTTGCCAGTGCCACACAACTAATAGGTGACAAAGGGAGATGGGAGTCCCAGTGTGGCGTTGTAGAAGAAACACTGGACTGCTGACCACAAGGTTGGTGGTTCAAAGTCACCAATCAACTCCTATGTAGAGTCGCTATGAGTCGGAACTGACTCAACGGCACTTAACAACAAGAGGGAGAAGAGCAGCTGTTTTCTTCCATGGTGCTCCCACACCCATAGCCTTCTGCCTTTTCTTCAACCCACACTAACACAAATGGTCAGTAACAAAACATCTTTATTGTCAAAGTATTCATGCAACCAACACAATTTTTACTGAACTCCTAAACCAGTTTCCACTGAGTCCATTTCAACTTACTTACTACAACTTCTTGTGTGTAAGAGTCCATCTGTGCTCTATAGGATTTTCAGTGGCTAAGTTTTCAGGAGCAGATCACCAGGCCTTTCTTCTGAGGCACTTCTGGGTGGATTCAAACCAACAACCTTTTGGATAGCAGCCAAGCGTTTGTACCACCCGCGGACTCCAGTGAGTGTCTTGCAAAGCAAACTCCCCCTCTTCTTTCAATTAGGAGCAATATATCAATATAATGTTGAAGAAACAATGCAAGATCCCACCACTTCCCTAAACTGCAGGGATCTGGGAGCCAGTCACTCTCTCTTAAGAAAGAAGAGTAATTGCATCATCATATCCTTCTGTTTGCAGGTAGGCCCCCAGCGTGCTGCTGCCTCTGTGAGTTTTTGACCATGGCGCCACCGTGCCTTCCCCTATACTTAGCAGATGTTCAGCAATGTCAGACTTATTTCTCTTCCTCCCAGTGCTTTGCTATGCTGGGCTGTGGCAGGCAGTGTGATCTCATTGCCAAGAGCTTGCATTCCAAATGCAGTGCCAGTCATAGGCACCACCACGAGCAGACAGCAAGACAAAAAGCAGTGAGGCTCCCAGCAACTGCCTGGGTGCAGAGAGAGTGTTGCTGACACCGCTGTTTGCTTCGTTTCCCATGATTTATGGGACGGGGTCAGGCTTTCTTTTCTCGATTTATGACTGCCTGTCCTGGGGAGAACATAAATTACTGCGTCTATGGCAATTTAAAGCTCAGTCAGAGATAGGAGACGACACCTCCACTGGCTGCACTGTCTACTGGGGCATTCGAAGCAATTAGGGTCAGGTTGCCGGGCTGCACAGAGCCTGTGGAAGATCAGGGAAGGGGTGCTGGTGCTCCGTTACCCACATCCCGCCCTCACTCCAGGCTTGGGGTCAATTACCCTCCTTCTATAAACACAGGTTCCCAAATGGAGGGGGGTCTAAAATCTCAGATGACTAGCCCGAACACAAGGAAAACTTTGCTAGCACGCAAACTTACCAAAACCTGAGGAAAGAGATGGGAGACAACAAGCAACCTTTTTTTTTTTTTTAAGGTAGGGGCTGTTGGAAGGGAAAGCAAGATGTTTCAATAGAATGACAGTACACCACTGTGCTGCACTATTCATAACAGCCAAAGGGTGGGAACAACCCAAGTGTCCGTCAACAGATGAACGGATACTCAAAATGTGGTACAGGCTCAGCATCCCTGGGTGGTATCAACAGTTAATGCATTGGTTGGAGGGTCAAGTCCATCCAGAGACACCTCAGAAGAAAAAGAGGCAGGCTCTCAATGAGATGGGTTAACACTATGGATTCAGACTCTATCATAGCTACAGTTGTGAGGATGGTGCAGGCCCAAGCAGTATTTCTTTCTTTCTCCCTAGGGATGCTCTGAGTCAGAGCTCCTGGACAGCACTCACCAACAACAACAGCTTCAAGACTGTATGTGTGTGTTCTTTTCACTGCCTGCTCATTTAAACAAAATGATGCTGCTGTTCTAGGCACAAACAAAGCGAGATGAGACCCAGCCTGCCCAGTGGTACCTCTTGAGGGTTTCCAGTGGCTCCTGTCTGTGCATGATGCCGGTGTCTGGGTCCACAGCGGTTAAGATGCACCTGTACACACACAGAACATCACACAAGAGCCGCGGGGACTGACCTTAGCTTCGCTCCCTCCCCCTGCATGGACTGAAGAGTCTTACCTAGAACAAGCCATCACCCTTTTCAGTTCCACGTCACCAATAAGGAGCTCATTCCAAGAATCCTAGGGGACAAAACACAAATTCACATGAGGACTTCTAGGCTCATGTAGACACATGCATAACCTGTTCACTTGCTGCCTTCAAGTTATTTCTGACTCATAGTGACCTTATAGAACTGAGCAGAACAGTCCCATAGGATTTCCAAGGCTATGATCTTGACAAAATCAAACGGACACATTGTTGTTCCATGGAACAGCTGGTGGGTGGCTTCGAACCAATGACCTTTCAGTTCAAAGCCCAGCGCTGAACCACTGTGCTACCAGGGTGACATGACACATACATACACTCATGTATGTAAGGGACTTCATATGAGCTGGCACCTACTAAAGCAACTTACATGCAAGAAGGCTGACTTGTACCTCAGCCCCAAGAGGCCAAGCAGTGGCCCATACCACCTTATGTTGTTCCTTCTCTTTGACTTTGATGTGCCAGTTCCCTCACCTGAGACGAGCTGCCTCCTCTCCTCTCATTTAAACTGTGAGTTAAACTCACCTCCTTCAGGAAGAAGTCTCATTGCTGTGACGTCAACCCCAACTCATGGTGATGCCATGTGTGTCAGAGCAGAATTATATCCCATAGGATTTTCATGGGTGACTTTGGGAAAGTGGATCACTGGGCCTTTTTTTCTGAAGCAGCTCTGGATGAAGTCAAACTGACAACCTTTAGGTTAACCGCCGAGTGCACTGACCATTTGTGCCACCCTGGGACTCCCCTCCAGGAAAACTGCAGATTAATCCCACCTGATCCCTGGGTGGGGGATAAGAAGGATGATGCTGTTTGGAGACAGGGTATATCAGATCCCTTTGTGGACACCTAGCATTAAGCAGTGGGAGGCTGACATAGCAGCCTGCTTCTGTAAAGATTACAGCCAGGGAAACTCAATGCGGCAATTCTCCTCTGACCTACACAGACACTAAGCGTTGGAATTCCACCCAATAGCAACAGGTTAGTTAAGTGGATTAGGATCCTTAAGTGATTATCTATGTGTACAGTCTCCCCTGATAAGATATGAACTGATAGCAAGGTCCAATGTTTTCTTATTTCTCCTATATTTTCACTAGAGCAGTTAGGAGTCTCTTGGTGACACAAACAACTACCAACCCAAAGGATGTGGCTTGAATTCACACAGAGCCATCTCAGAAGAAAGGCCCAATGGTCTATTTCCAAAAGATCACTGATGTAGAGAACCCTATGGAGCACAGTTCTACTCTGACACACATGGGGTTGCCACGAGTCCTGGTTGACTCTATGCAACAGGGCCACGGTTTTTGCTGTTTTGTTTCAGCCTTAAGTCTTTGACAGTGGGCTAGGCCATGCTGCCTGATTATTGTTGTTGTTGTTAAGTGCTGTTGAGTCAGTTTCAATTCATGATGACCCTGTGTGGGGTTTCTGAGGAGTACACGGTGGATTTCAACTGTCAACCTTGCAGTTCAAACTGACCTTGCAGTTCAGTGCTTATCCTACAGCACCACACCAGGGCTCCATGCCTACTCATTAGGACAAATCAAGTCAACCTAGCCCCTCAAATCCAGCAGAGGTGGCAGCACATGCATCTATAACAAGTTAAAGGTCAATATGAAGTGGCGCTACGGGTTAATGCATCAGACTGCAAAGCCATTTGAACTGCAAGGTCAACAATTCAAGCTTACCAACTACTCCTCGGAAACCCTATACAGGGTTGCTATGGGTTGGCACCAACTCGATGGCATTTAACAGCAACAACTACATTCTTTTTCAAAGTTCTTAAAAAAGAGAGTAAGAGAGACAGAGAGAAGGTATTATAAGGTAGCAAACCATGTGCAGATTCTGGGAGTTTAAAGGAGTAAATACTTCATACTGAGCTGGACTGTGGAGGTTTTATGGAATCAATGGCATCAGGGTTAAAAGAAGAAGATTTTAAAAGGCACAGAGAGGGTGAGGGGATTCCAGGTAGAGGGGGCAACAATTCAAAGGGCCCTGGTGACAAAAAGAACACCTAATTCTAGTTCTTTCAGAGAGCCATGCTGCTACAAGAGGATTAAAGGTCTTGAGTTCAAGACCACCTGTCCTGTCCTTCATGGATCACAAGCTGAACACAACATTCCAAACTCAGAATTTTAATTGTGATAATGTGCATTGTTTTTGAAATATGTATTGCAGGAATTTTTTTTTTTTTTTACCCATAAAATACGAATGTCTCTTCACAGCATGCTGTCACAAGACAATCCAGGAAACCGGGCAAGTCAGGTGATACCAGTTACAACCAGTACATTGTGAATTTCTCCACAGGGTGGCACTGTGGTCACACACACAGGGGGTGATAAAAGAACACACTGAAGATTTAAACATCCCCACCTCCCTCCTGGAGTCCTGGTGTGGTGCTATGGGTTAATGTGCTGGACTGCAAGATCCAGCAATTCAAACTCACCAGCCACTCCTACGAAACCCTATACAGGGTCAGTATGAGTTGGAACTGACTTGATGGCACTTCACAACAACAACCTCCTTCCTCCACATACAGTTGCCAAACCAAGTAGATTTGGGCTCACGTCGAAGCATGTGTGTCAGAGTGGAAGTATTCCATGAGATTTTCAATTACTTATTTTTTGTGGAAGTAGATCACCAGATCTTTCTTGTAAGGCACCTTTTGTGTGAATTCAAGCCACTAATCTTTCGGTTCATAGCCAAGCTCTCAACCATATGCACACACAGGGATCCCAAAGGTCCAGAAGGAGAGAAATGAGAGGTAGTTTGAGTTAGCGAGTTCATCTATTATTCAATGGATAAATATTACCAGAACCTTTTCTGTGTTCAGTAGCAACTGTTGGGGATTGAGTCACAGGTAAACAAGATAAAAATTCCATCATAAGAGAAAACGATTATCTGTGGGACACACATGACAGACTTGCCTGTGTTTAATACCGTAGATGAGACCATGAAAGTCTTCTTGTCTGGACACAGGGCCTTCAGGTACCAAGGGATCTAAGCCAGGACCAGTATGGCTGTAGGAGAGGTATAGACACAGCACTGTCCAGGTTTAGAGAAAGAAGGAAGCTCTGTGGGTCTGGTGATCAGAGTCAACTTCACAGAGGTAGTAGCTTTTGAAGAAGGTCAGGATCTCTGACAAGAGGTAACTGCAAGGTCAGCAGTTCAAATTCACCAGTGTAAGGTTCCAAGAGAATGTAAGAGAATACCAGGAGCCAGGAGAATCTTTTACTTTCTAGGTCCAGTTTTCAAAGCACTCTGGGTGGTACAAACAGGACTCAACTACTAACTACCACCATTTGTCTGTCCGTTTGTCATACTGTGATGGCTTGTGTACTGCTGTGATGCTGGAAGCTATTCCACTGGTATGCCACTAGGGTCACCCATGATGAATAGCTGAAACTAGGACAGACTTGGAAGAAGGAGAGGCGGACTACTTCTGAATGCGTTTAGCCACTGAAAAAGAAAATCTTAGGAATAGCAGTGGAACATTGTCAGACACAGTGCTAAAAGATGAAAACATTATGAATACTACCAGAATATTGTCAGATAAAGTGCTGAAAGATGAGCCCCTCACATTGAAAGGTATTCAAAATATAATGACCTTCTCAAAGTAGAGTTGACTGTGATGACGCGAATGGAGTAACAGTATGGGGACCTTCATTTGCTGATGGAGTACAACTCAAAATGAGGAGACACAGCTACAACATTCATAAATAATTGGAACATGACTGTACAAAGGATGAATCTACGAAAATCGGAAGTTGTAAAAAATGAAATGGAATACAAAAACATCAACAGTCCTAGGCATTGTTGTCATTGTTAAATGCCGAGTCAGTTACAACTCTTAACAACCCTATCTAGAGTTTCTAAGGAGCGGCTGGTGAATGTGAACTGCCAACCATGCGGTACAAACCCATCTTGCAGTCCAGTGCATTATCCCACAGCACCACACAGGACTCCACCCTAGGCATTAGTGAGCTGAAATGTAATGGTATTGGCCATTTTGAATCACAAATACAGAAAAGACAAATACAAGAGGAACGGTGTCTCATTAGTCATCAAAAAGAATATTTCATTTCAAAATCTATCTTGAAAATGACTGGTATCTACAAGGCTGGCAGTTCAAGCCCACCAGCTGCTCCTAGGAAACCCTATATGGGTTGCTTTGAGTCAGAAACGACACAATGGCACTTAACAACAACATCTTGAGGTATAATGCTGTCTGTGATTGGATAATATCCATACACCCACAAGTGAGACTAGTTAATACCACTATTATTCAAATGTACTTGCCAATCACTAAAGCCAGTGATGATGAAATTGAAGAGAAGAACTCTACCAATTTCTTCAGTCTAAAACTGATCAAACATGCAATCTAAATGTATTGATAATTACTGATGATTGAAATGTGAAGGATGTAAACAAAGAGGATGAGTCAGCATTTGGAAGATACGGTCTTGGTGATAGAAGTGATGCTTGAGATCACATGTTAAAATTTTACAAGATCAGTGAATTATTTAATTGTAAGTACCCTTTCAAACACATGGGCCTCACCAAATGGAATACACAGAAATAAAATTGACTACACCATGGGAAAAGATGGTAAGAAAGCTCAACATCATCAGCCAAAACAAGGCCAGGGGCTGACTGTGGAACAGACCATAAATTGCTCATATGTAAGTTCAGGCTGAAGCTGTAAAAAATTAAAACAAGTCCAAAAGAGCCTAACTATGACCTTGAACATACGGCACCTTAATTTAGAGACCATCTCAAGAACCGATCTGATGCATCAGGTACATATGACCAAAGAGCAGAAGAGCTGTGGGATGCCATTGAGATCACCATACATGAGGAAACCAAAAGATCATTAGAAAGGCAGGAAAGAAAGAAGAGATTAATGTATATGTCTGAAAAGACTCTGCAATTTGCTATCAAGAATAGAGATGCTAAGGCAAATGGAAGGAACGAGGAAACAAAAGAGCTGAACAGAAAATTTCAAAGGGCAGTTCAAGACCACAAAGTCAAGTATTATAAT